GAAACATGTACTCTGCTGCTGGCGGGCGCGTCTCTGTCGTGGCCCTCTCGGTGAGCCCTATTCCTGTCGACCAGACCTTGGACGAGGATGGATCTCGCGTCAAAGCCTGGCCCACTGGGGTCGACTGGAATCCTTCGCCCATCACTGTGAGGGCGCCTGTCATCCTGCTGGCGAGGCACATACGACCCGCTCTGCGGGGGAGGCGTGGGCACTCGACGTCGACCGCCACGATCGACTCGGTGATCATACTGCTCATGGTTCCCATACTGGTCACGCCGGTCTCCACGTCCCTCACGCCTCGGGGGCGATCTCGGGCTGTGAGCCGACTGGACTGTGTCCGCGGTAACGGATCTGCTGTGAATTCTGTTTCGCGATTGAGAAACAGCAGAATTCTGATCTCCTGCTGCTCGGAGTAACGCTCTGATCTGCAGCAAGCCTCTGCCAGCCTCCGACTGGGAAGGCTGAATCGACTCCGCTATGCAGGCCGCAGCTGCTAAATTCTGAATTGGAGTCCGATATACCTGCGGGGGCGGGAAGAGCTGACGTCGACTGGATTTGGGAACCCGTTGTCGCGCACGCTCGTTGAGTGCTCGCTGGAGGTTCTCCAGTCGAGTGCGCTCGGCCAAGTTTGCCAGGCGCGCGTCCTCCAAGGCACGAGCCTCGGGGGTTTCTCCAACGATAGGAGTGTGCAGCGCATCCATGTTCCGGCGGCGAAGTTCTTCTCTCTGCAGCGACGTGAGAGGCTCGGGAAGATACTCCTCATGGGGACACAACGGGTCGCCTTCTCCCGTGCCTCCGTCGGTGCGGGTAAAACCGGGGGGACTGGGCGGCCCATCGACCATCAGAACCTCCGCCGTCGGATCGCTGCTGTCGCACTCAGATGCAGTCTCTTCGGAGCCAGTCGACAGGTCGAACAGGCCGTAGAGGGATTCGTCAGGCTCGATCACCACGACTTGAGGGGTGGCCGACTGACGGGCCACCGCGTGTCTCACCCACCGCTGAAGTCTCGACCGACCAGAGCGCTTGCGCCGGCGGGAAACGGGGAGGGAGGACAGCACAGGAGCCGACCGGTAGGAGGTCGACGGTTGCCGCAGGAGAATGTCGCGGACGCACGCGCTAAAGTGCGTTGCCCCACGGACAGGGAGCGCGTCCACATCGAGCGGAGTCTCCTGAAGCCAGGCGGAGTCGTCGGCGATAAACGTGAGCGCGCCGAGATGAATCTCGCGGCTCTCCACCAAAACTCCGTCGAAAACCATGATGATTCGGGTCGGAAAAGATCGCAACTCCTCCAACAAAACGCTAAAACACCTGCCCCAAGGTGGGCGCCAACTGTCGTGGTTCTAAGTCTGACAGCAATGTAGGGGGTAAGTATGGAGAGGCGAGGTCTTAGCTATGGAGAGGTTGTAAGGACGCAAGGTTTACGAGTTCAGGCCTTTCTCGGAGGAAGTAAAAGCCCTACGTCTCGGAGCCCGGAGGCGGTCGACTGGATTATGTGTGTATGAGTTACAGAGGTGCAAACCCTTGTCTCGGAGGAGGGGGTGGCTTATATAGAGTGCACAGGACCCCGGCCAGCCCATGTTACGAAGGGTTCAATGTACATTAAGGCAGGGCGTTACTGATAACGCTAGTAATAAAGTGTTATGATGACCATAAAGGCTACTTAATGACCGACCGTTAGCATGCGGAGTGACTTTAGGTCTCCTGGCTATCGAGTGGTTGGATCTTGGTCGAGTAATTGCTTCTTGGTCGAATGTCTTCGAGTCTGTCGAGTGGAACACCTTCAAGTCGATTGAAAGGTGATTTATTCTAAAGGTGTCCTTGGGTAGGGCAGTTAGGACAGGTCCGTGACCCTATCCTAGGTACATTCCTTCGTCACCGCACACGCGCGTACGCCCGCGCACCTCTCGACGTGGCCGCCGCGGCCCCGACACTATGCCGGCGAAGTATGACGCGTGGCGCGTGTCGTGTTCGTCCTAGAGCCATGTGTCCCAGAGGTCGGAATCCGGGCCATACCTGTCGTCGTAGAACAGGTCGTCCAGGAGGAGGCGGCGGCAGCGCTCGATCTCATCGCGGCGCGCGCGGACGCTCGCCGGCACAGGAGGGATCGGGACCCGGTCGGCGCTGAGGTGCCATCCGTTGGGGAGGTGGACGTCACTCCACGGGACCGGCGTCCTCGTCTCCCAGTACCTCCGGCACACGTCCGTAGCGAGGTACTGCCGGTCGCGCTCGCCGGCGGGCCTAGGGTTGATGGTGAAGGGGGCCGGGATGGGGGCTCGACGGGAGGAGCGCGGCGGTGACGCGGGCTCCTCCTTCTTCACGGAGCCGCGGCAACGCCCCGAGGAGGAGCCGGCCTCACGGTCGTGCTTGCCCTTGCCGTTCCAGAACCCCATGGCGAGGTGGGCGGCCGGCGAGCTCGAGGGCTTCGGCTAGGGTTTCGGCGCTGTCGGGTTTCGAGAAGGACGCGGGGTGGCGTGGGGCAGTGTGGACGACGACCCGTCCGTGTTTCCCACTTAAAGAAGGACGACGACCGTTCGACGTGCGGATGACAGGTGGGGCCGCCCGCTCGTGCGCATTGATGTGGGCGGGTGGGAGGTAGGTGGCCGCCTGCCGCGCGGCCCCGACGCGGACGAGCGCGCGTCCGTTTGGTGTCCGCCGCGAGCCAAACCCGGCGCAAGTTTGCGCTCGAAATGGGTCGGCCCGGACACAAAACGGACAGGATGGGTCCGGACCGTCGCGCGCTGGGCCGTCTTCTTTGTCCGTTTTACCCCAAACGGACGGGGCCGGACAGGATAGGGTCGCGCGGTGAAGTTGGCCTAAGGGGGTGTTTGGTTCAGAAGTCCTAGGACTTTTTCTAGTCCCAGGGACTAATCAAAAAAGACTCTTCAGTAGAGTCTCTTTTCTAGTCCGTGTAGAAAAAGTCACTCCCGTTTGGTTCCTAGGGACTTTTTAGGGACTTTTTCTAGTCTCTCGGACTAAAAAGTTCCTGAACCAAATACCTCCTAAGTATTTTCATTCACTTTTACAATTACAATAAAGATTTTCAATCGCGACTGACGGTGATCTCTGTTCACTTTGGGGGCATATCATATACTGTCACAAACGGTTCAGATATGAGCAAATGTAGATGAATTGGTATTTCTTTAGTTCACTTTAGCAACTAATGGCCGTTGTGCGAGTGTTTATTTTCTCAAGCAACCGATAAGAGCTCTACATTTTTCATATGAACAAGAGAATTGATCGGTTAATAAGGAAAACTGAGCGAAAACTAAGTGCTAGTGTTTCTCTAGAGTATTTTGGACGATGCAATTAATCTTTTTTTTTTGAAATGGAGGGTCACCCCTGGCTTCTGCATCAAACTGATGCATGCAACTATATTATTAAACAAAAATTTCAAAAGGTCTGTGGTTCATTACAAGCTCACACGGAGCTAAAATGAAATGAAGATAAAAATTACCACAACCGGCAAAAATAGAAAGAGATGACTAAACACCTTGCATTAATTAGGCCGCTATCCAAACCAGTTGTAAATACTCCGTGCTACCATCTTTCATCGGATACACCGAATAGTCAAAAGCTCCCAGACTTTCGGAAGAGTGAGTAATGACCACATAAAGATTCAAGCAGTGGCCCTCTATATAACCTGCAAAAAAATTAAAAGAGTTAAATAATATGAGGACATATATTATTTGGTTTGGTTCCCCAAAAGAAGAATCATGTAGAGCCACCATTTCTGTCCACTCTTCCCATTTGGATGGCTAACATTTACCACCACCCCACACACCGCGCGCGCACACACCCACACCATATCTTGATTTTGCGGCTAGGAGATTTACTCCTTCCGGTTTTTTTAGTCTGCATATAAGTTTTATCCAATATCAAATTATCTCTACTTTGACCAAACTTATAGAAAAAAATGTCAACATTCACAATATCAAATCAATATGGTAGATTCATTTTGAAATGCAGTTTCATAGTTTATATATTCAGTATTGTAGATGTTGATATCTTTTAATATAAATTTGGTCAAACTTTGCAAAGTTTGACTTGACACAAATCTAATACATGGAGTAAAAATGACCGGAGGGAGTACATCCATTGCTCCAAGATCCTAACCCGACACCTTCGTCACCGTCGCTCAACTCCTAGTCCATCCATCGTTCAACAACAAGCCGCCATCCACCTTTCTCATCTAGTTATCATGAGTCTTTGACCACCACCTGTTCCAAAACCCTAACTCCTTAGGCTGGTATCTAAGTCAAGAGAACAGGAAGGAGAACTTTTTTTTTTTGAGACGGGAAGGAGAACTTTGTTGGCACCCAAAAAACTCCTCAAGCGTATGTTTAGTGGTGAGCCTAAATTTTTTACCCCATTTACATCCATGATCTAATATGCCTGTAATTTGGTTTGGCTGGAAGATGATAATGGACGATAGCAAGGAGATTGTATTTTCAGTAAAAAAAATCGTGGTATCAACAATTATATATATGATCTTGTTTCATAAACTAAAAAAATTGCATGTTTCAAGTTTCAAAAAATCATATATACAGGAAAATAAATTGAAACATGTCCATGGAAATTTCTAGAAATATGACCATTTTGAAGTATGCAAAAATATTTTATGATTTATTCACAATAAATAAATTATGTAGTATATAAGCACAAAGGGTTTTGCACTTTTTGTATTTTACTGCACAGTTTGCCAATTGTCATGTGTGCTTTTGTTTTGCCAACATCCACCAAGTTCAAGTTTTTTG